ACTTTAGTAGTGGTTTCTTTGCAGCAACTTGACCATGAAGGCCTGATTCACACAGTCTCCTCTGAACAGTTGATGTTGAGATGTGTCTGTGACTTGAACTCTGTGAAGCATTTATTTGGGCTGCAATTTCTGAGGCTGGTAACTCTAATGAACTTATCCTCTGCAGCAGAGGTAACTCTGGGTCTTCAATTCCTGTGGTGGTCCTCATGAGAGCCAGTTTCATCATAGTGTTTGATGGTTTTTGCGACTGCACTTGAAGAAATGTTCAAAGTTCTTGAAATGTTCCGTATTGACTGACCTTCATGTCTTAAAGAAATGATGGACTGTCATTTCTCTTTGCTTATTTGAGCTGTTCTTGCCAAATAGGGCTATCTCTGTATACCCCCCCACTTTGTTAAAACACAACTGATTGGCTCAAACGCATTAAGAAGGAAATAAATTCAAAAATTAACTTTTAGGAAGGCACACCTGTTAATTGAAATGCATTCCAGGTGATTACCTCATGAAGCTGGTTGAGAGAATGCCAAGAGTGTACAAAGCTGTCATCAAGCAAAGGGTGGCTATTTGAAGAATCTCAAATATAAAATATATTTTGATTTGTTTAACACATTTTTGGTTACTACATGAGTCCATATGTGTTATTTCATAGTGTTGATGTCTTCACTATTATTCTACAATGTAAAAATAAAGAAAAACCCTTGAATGAGTAGGTGTGTCCAAACCTTTGACTGGTAGTGTACATACAGTTGAAGTCGGAAGTTTACATACACTTAGGTTGGAGTCATTAAAACTTGTTTTTCAACCACTCCACAAATTTCTTGATTAACAAACTATAGTTTTGGCAAGTCTGTTAGGACATCTACTTTGTGCATGACACAAGTAATTTTTCCAACAATTGTTTACAGACAGATTATTTCACTTAGAATTCACTGTATCACAATTCCAGTGGGTCAGAAGTTTACATACACTAAGTTGACTGTGCCTTTAAACAGCTTGGAAAATTCCAGAAAATGATGTCATGGCTTTAGAAGGTTCTGATAGGCTAGTTGACATAATTTGAGTCAATTGGAGGTGTACCTGTGGATGTATTTAAAGGTCTACCTTCAAACTCAGTGCCTCTTTGCTTGACATCATGGGAAAATCAAAAGAAATCAGCCAAGACCTCAGAAAAAAAATGTGTAGACCTCCACAAGTCTGGTTCATCCTTGGGAGCAATTTCCAAACGCCTGAAGGTACCACGTTCATCTGTACAAACAATAGTACGCAAGTATAAACACCATGGGACCACACAGCCGTCATACCGCTTAGGAAGGAGACGTGTTCTGTCTCCTAGAGATGAACATACTTTGGTGCGGAAAGTGCCAATCAATCCCAGAACAACAGCAAAGGATCTTGTGAAGATGCTGGAGGAAACAGGTACAAAAGTATCTATATCCACACTAAAACGAGTCCTATATCGACATAACCTGAAAGGCCGCTCAGCAAGGAAGAAGCCACTGCTCCAAAGCCGCCATTAAAAAAGACAGACTATGGTTTGCAACTGCACATAGGGACAAAGATCGTACTTTTTGGAGAAATGTCCTCTGGTCTGATGAAACAAAAATAGAACTGTTTGGCCATAATGACCATCGTTATGTTTGGAGGAAAAAGGTGGACGCTTGCAAGCCGAAGAACACCATTCCAACCGTGAAGCACGGGGGTGGGCAGCATCATGCTGTAGGGGTTGCTTTGCTGCAGGAGGGACTGGTGCACTTAACAAAATAGATGGCATCATGAGGAAGGAAAATTATGTGGATATATTGAAGCAACATCTCAAGACATCAGTCAGGAAGTTGAAGCTTGGTCACAAATGGGTCTTCCAAATGGACAATGACCCCAAGCATACTTCCAAAGTTGTGGCAAAATGTCTTAAGGACAACAAAGTCAAGGTATTGGAGTGGCCATCACAACGCCCTGACCTCAATCCTATAGAACATTTGTGGGCAGAACTGAAAAGGCGTGTGCGAGCAAGGAGGCCTACAAACCTGACTCAGTTACACCAGCTCTGTCAGGAGGAATGGGCCAAAATTCACCGAACTTATTGTGGGAAGCTGGTGGAAGGCTACCAGAAACGTTTGACCCAAGTTAAACAATTTAATGGCAATGCTACCAAATACTAATATGTAAACTTGTATGTAAACTTCTGACCCAGTGTATGTAAACTTCTGACCCACTGGGAATGTGATGAAATAAATAAAAGCTGAAATAAATCATTCTCTCTACTATTATTCTGACATTTCACATTCTTAAAATGTAGTGGTGATCCTAACTGACCTAAGACAGGGAATCTTTACTAGGATTAAATGTCAGGAATTGTGAAAAACTGAGTTTAAATGTATTTGGCTAAGGTGTATGTAAACTTACGACTTCAACTGTACATACTTTTGGTAATGTAGTGTATGTGGACACTTGCTCGTCGAACATCTCGTTCCAAAATCATGGGCATTAATATGAAGTTGGTCCTCCCTTTGCCGCTATAACCACTCTTCTGGGAAGGCTTTCCACTAGATGTTGGAACATTGCTGCGGGGACTTCCATTCAGCCACGAGCATTAGTGAGGTTGGGCACTGATGTTGGGCGATTAGGCCTGGCTCGCAGTCGGCGTTCCAGTTCATCCCAAAGGTGTTTGAAGGGGTTGAGGTCAGGGCTCTATGTAGGTCAGTCAAGTTCTTCCACACTGATCTCGACAAACAATTTCTGTATGAACCTCGCTTTTTGCACGGGGGCATTGTCATGCTGAAACAGGAAAGGGCCTTCTCCAAACTGTTGCCACAAAGTTGGAAGCACAGAATCGTCTAAAATGTCATTGTATGCTGTAGCGTTAAGTTTTCCTTTCACTGGAACTAAGGGGCCTAGCCCGAACCATGAAAAACAGCCCCAGACCATTATTCCTCCTCCACCAAACCCATATTCGTCCGTCAGACTGCCAGATGGTGAAGCGTGATTCATCACTCTAGAGAACGCGTTTTCCACTGCTCCAGAGTCCATTGGCAGCGAGCTTTACACAACTACAGCCGACGCTTGACATTGCACATGGTTATCTTAGGCTTGTGTTTGGCTGCTTGGTCGTGGAAACACATTTCATGAAGCTCCCGGTTGGAAGTACTGCCAAATTCTCTAAAACGACATTGGTAGAGAAATGAACATTCAATAGCTCTGGTAGACATTCCTGCAGTCAGCATGCCAGTTGCGCGCTCCCTCAATACTTGAGACATCTGTGGCATTGTGTTGTGTGACAAAACTGCACATTTTAGAGTGGCCTTTTATTGTCCCCAGCACAAGGTGCACCTGTGTAATGATCATGCTGTTTAATCAGCTTCTTGATATGCCACACCTGTCAGGTGGATGGATGGATTATCTTGGCAAAGGAAAAATGCTCACTAACAGGGATGTAAACAAATTTGTGCACAAAGTCTGAGAGAAATACGCTTTTTGTGCTTATGGAAAATGTTGGGGATTTTTTATTTCAGCTCATGAAACATGGGACCAACAATTTAAATGTTGTTGTTTATATTTTTCTTCAGTATAGATGAAAGTAAAAGTGATGAGCCATTCAGACCAGTCTTTCTGATTGAACTTTCGTAAACTACATAACTACATTTTTATAACAGACATACTCCTCCATCTTCACAGCAACTTTGTCAATATGACTTGATCATGATAATTGACCATCCAATGTTATACCTAGGAGTTTAGCTTCCTCCACTTGCTCAATGGTCACACCCTTTATACACAACTCCAGTTGAGGTTTAGGTCTTAGACTGTTTTGAACCAAATACAATGCTTTTAGTTTATTATTAATCACCCATTCTGATACTGACTGTAACTCCTTATTTAGAATTTCACTGAGCTCACTGGCTTTGGGTGCTGATATATAGAGTGTGGAATCATCCTCATACATAGTGATTCTAGCTTTGTGTAAGACCAGCGGTAAATCATTTGTAAAAAGAAAGAATAGTAACTCCCCTGAGGGTCACATTACCTTACATATCTGATGTTAGAGTAGCTTCCATTGAAGAACACACTGGGTTCTATTGGATAAATAACTCTCCAACCATGTGATGGCAGGTGATTTAAAGCCATAGCAAGTGAGTTTCTTCAATATCATTCTATGATCAATAACATCAAAGGCTGCACTGAAATGTAACAATACAGCTCCAACTATCATCTTATTATCCATTTCTTTTAACCGATCATCTGAGTCAGTGCAGTACAAGTTGAGTGCCCTTCTCTATATGCATGCTGAAAGTCAGTAGTTAACTTGTTCTCTGAAAAATAGCATTATATTTGGTCAAACACAATTATTTCCATCAGTTTACTAAGAGCAGGCAGCAAACTGATTGGGCGGCTGTTAGAGCCAGCAAATGGGTGCTTTACTATTTTTAGGCAGTGGAATTACTTTAGCTTCCTTCCACACCTGTGGACACACACTCCTTTAGGCTTTGGTTAAATATATAGCAAATAGGTGTGGCAATACAGTCTGCTAACATTCTCAGTAGTTTCCCATCAAGGTTAGGGGAATATGGGCCTTTCATCAGTAAAATTTGCTCACCTGCATCCTCTCTTTTCAGTTCTCAACAGCTGATTCAAAGGAGGTGTGGCAGATATCAAGACACTTCCGTGGTAGGATACACTTGTGCTTCCTCGCCAAAAGGAGGCAATCGAGGAAGTGAGGACCAACGAAGTACCACACTCCTTAACCACTTATTGTTTTCCCGGTCACGGAGGAGAGAGGATGGAGGACGTACTTTTGCCCAAAGGAGAAAACCCCATGGTTTGAGCCTGAGGATTAGATCTGAAAAAGTGGCCTCTGTCCTGGGTAGAACTGCGCGCGGAGGGAGGGGACTGGGGTTTAGTACTTGAATTTGTGTAGATAGGGTTTGGGGCCTAGGGCCTGAAGAGTGGGTTGTGTTCATCTGCACGTGTGTTAAACTTCTCTGTTTGTGCCTGTTCCCCTAGATGTGTTGCCCTCTGACCCCCTACAAAGTCTTTATGACTTGTGGCTGTCTTTGGTGGACCACCTGAACATCAAGGCATTCGTCAACCTCACCCTGGCAGACTCTGTACGACACGGAGCCCAGCACCTGCTCTTCATCTCATGCCTCGGTAAGTCCCATCTGCTAGTCAGTCTAATTCTACTCTTTTAAAATGACACCCTATTCCCTATATAGTGCACTACTTATGGCCAGAATAAAGAATTTGAACTGTATTTTTACTGCATCTCCCTTATTCCCCAATGCCCACCTTTTTCTTTTTTGGAATGAATACTCATGACATAGGAATAAGTTTAAGATTAGTCGATTCCCTCTTATTTTCTGTAATTGCGTCTTTTGTGATTAACACTTCCTACCTACCCACTTCTAATCATCCAGGTGGAATGAGACCAAACACTCTGGTTTCTATGACTACTGTACCCCTGAGGACAATTTCCTCCAATCTTCCATCCTCCTCTTGACAGGCAGCAGCCTGGCCAACCCAAGCTCCTCCAAGGACCCCAGGGAACATCGCCAGGGCCCTCAGTTCCACTTCTCCTCACTACGAGGTGACAGCGAGCCCAAAGACTTCCGGCCGGAGGAATATGTCGTCGTCATCGCAGACACCGTCAAGATGCTGAAAAATTAGACTTTAGTTCGTAACTTCTGCCACTTCGACTGGGAGGGATCAGGGTTAAAGGTCACAGGGGCTGCTCGGGGGCCTTCTATACGGTGGCCCCTGAATCTCCTCCATCTGGACAGTTGCGGCTACGTGGACACCTGCTCGCTCTTCCTGCTGCAGCTGGTGTGCGTACTGCACGAGTCTCAAGCCTGGCGCTGTACGAGGCTCCGCCTCTTCCTGTGCACAGAGCATGGGAGGTGGAGCCTGCGGCAGGAAGCGAAGCTGCTTCTGATGCTGACGGCGTTGAGGATCTCGGCGGAGGGGCAGATGGTGGCCTGGGACCATGTGGTGACGCTACACTGGCAGAGACGGAAGAATGGAGGGAACGAGAAGGGGACAGGAGGAGAGAAGGAATGAAGATGAGGAACAGATGGAGAAGGAGCTGAAGCAGGGGGAGGAAGAGGAGGGACAAATTCAGAAGTTCCGCAGTAACGCTGCTCAGCTGACGGACGACTACCTCTGTGCTGCCCCTTGCCGTGCGTTTCCTGTATTTTCCCCGCGCACTGGCAGACATGCAGTGATACGCCTACCTGCATCAGCTGCTCAGTAGAGAACTTGGCCCCACCCTGCTCATTCATGGGGTAATGCCAGTTGTCACCACTGACCTCTAACCCCTAAGCCTTCACTTGTATCCCCGCTCACCTTATCCCTCACCTGGCTCTGACCCCATCACCAGCTGGACCTGCCCAGTAGAGACCTGGGCCCAACCCTACCCAGCCATGGGGGTACACCTGTTACAGAGAGGATGTGCGAAGTGTCTGCGTGAGATAAGCCTTTTTTTGTATTGAGGTCTATGAGAGTGTCGCATTATTATGTGAGGCTTATTTGATCTAATAGAAGTTTCGTAATGTTGAGGCTGTTACAAATGTACTCATAAGTGGATGCACGTGGCATTCCGGCAACTTTGAGAAAAACAACTTAATTGTGCCTATTGGTCACACGCGTATCTGCCCTCTCATTGGCTAGAATGGTCCCAACTGATCTCCTCCTCCTGCCTGCCTTCCATAGTTGAAGACATGTATTTCCATTTAGAGCGGTCACTCAAATATCTTGTCAATATAATAGATCATCTTTGCATCTTTAACCCCTTACCCCTCACCTGTATCCCCTCACCCCTGACCCTTTCCCATATCTAGTGGGTTATGTTCCTATGAACATTCTTTGTGAATGACACCAGTCACTTTTATAGGGGCAAGAGGATGTGTGTATGTTTGTCTTATTTGTATTGATCTTGGTTGACTGAAGCACTCCTGCTGTTCTGTTGTGGATGTTCTAATCACTACACACTGGGTTTTATTAGAGGTGTGGGGCTGATTTTAACACAATAGTCCATGAGGTCACAGTTTATTCTCTTCACTTATTTATGAAATATTGGCACAATTCTAGTTTTTTGTATGTAGCAGTAAAGAAAAAATAAATGTATAAATGGTATTTTCAATCAAATGCATGCAGGTGTGAACTATTTCCAGACCAGAAGAGGGCGATATATGCTTAGCAACTTCACCAGAGCTACAGTAAGACAATTACACTGTAGTGATTGAATGGGAACAGCAGAGGCAGGGCTTGAACCAGTCCTTTACAGTTACAGCGCATGTGTACTACATCATGCCATATGTGTCCTGACCTAGCATCCACACTGAAGAAGGCTGTAAAGCAGAAACGTCTGTGTACGCTATCCCTGATGCAGTAAAACATTTAAAACATTAAATAATGAAGTAAGCTTTATGCTACATATTTTTTAGTGCGAACCCATAACACCTTTTGTTTGTCTGAATTTGCCGGTTTTACGCACCAGCCAAGCTTCTGGGAGAGCGCGCGATGGTTATCTTTTGATTAGCCACAAATGTCACAATATATTTTTTGTTCTCACCATCTATTGGGATATTTTCGACCATAAATAGCTTTGTCTCCAGTAGAGTGATTAACAGGAGAGTCTCTAGTCTACAAACTCATCATCCAGTGTGTTATGCCGTATGGGAGGTGTCATGACTTCCCTCATCGGTTGAGGATCAAACATTCCTGCTAGGCAAAGGTTTGAACACCCCCTGGAGGGCCTCGGGCGCACCTGCGCAATGCTCAAGCCTCATCATCCAGTGTGTTATGCCGTATGGGAGGTGTCATGACTTCCCTCATCGGTTGAGGATCAAACATTCCTGCTAGGCAAAGGTTTGAACACCCCCTGTCCTGGGGGCCAGTATTATGACTTAACAGCCGGTCATAAATAGTTTGCAGAAAAGGACTCCTTTTGGTCTCTAGTATGGGGGAGAAAGAATTTCCCTGTGAGACAAAGGAAGTCTTCCCGCCAAGACTCCAACATCCAAAAGTGGATAATGAAACAATATTCCTACTTAAAATAATGTGGGAAATGGTCAGTGGGGATCTGAAGAATAATCATGTCATATTGTTTATTATTTTGTGATGTCATTAAGGATGGTATCAAGTAATAACTGTAACTCGGAAAGTGTACATATTCTATCTATCAAGTTTACATCTAAATGTTGTATAAAATATATGATTAAGTATGAGAGTATTTTGGTGAAGATAGGAATGTGATTTTAGTCTTCTAATGAGATAATAGTTTTCCTATAAACTATGCACAGTGACTAGCCACGCCCCAAGTGACATCAGAGATTGTGTAAACATGATGGAACGCCCCTTTTACCCCAAGTGCATAAAAAGCCTTTTGACGAAATTCACCTCAGACCAGCAGACGTGAAGCATGAGCTAAACGTTGCAATTGGTTGAAACTCTACAGACCAAGAAATGTGAAGTGTGAGCTAAACGTTACAAAATGGTTTAAAACTACAACTCCATTACCAAAGGAAGACCAGCAGACGTGAAGCGTGAGCTAAACGTTGCAAATGGTTGAATTTCTACCCAGACCAGCAAGCCCACGGCTTAAAATGGTTGAAACTCTACAGACCAGCAGACGTGAAGCGTGAGCTAAACGTTGTAAAATAGTTGAATTTCTATAAGACCAGAAAGTCCAGAAAATGTGAGACGTTAGTCCACACGTATGAAATGGAGAAACTCTGAAACTCTCAACCTCTACACGAGGTGAAGAAGAAGACAATGCACTGGACCTTATCATCTCAGTCTGCAGCTGGCATATATAGTGAGGGAAAAAAGTATTTGATCCTCTGCTGATTTTGTACGTTTGCCCACTGACAAAGACATGATCAGTCTATAATTTTAATGGTAGGTTTATTTGAACAGTGAGAGACAGAATAACAACAACAAAAATCCAGAAAAACGCATGTCAAAAATGTTATAAATTGATTTGCATTTTAATAAGGGAAATAAGTATTTGACCCCTCTGCAAAACATGACTTAGTACTTGGTGGCAAAACCATTGTTGGCAATCACAGAGGTCAGACGTTTCTTGTAGTTGGCCACCAGGTTTGCAAACATCTCAGGAGGGATTTTGTTCCACTCCTCTTTGCAGATCTTCTCCAAGTCATTAAGGTTTCGAGGCTGACGTTTGGCAACTCAAACCTTCAGCTCCCTCCACAGATTTTCTATGGGATTAAGGTCTGGAGACTGGCTAGGCCACTCCAGGACCTTAATGTGCTTCTTCTTGAGCCACTCCTTTGTTGCCTTGGCCGTGTTGCCTTGCCTTGGGTCATTGTCATGCTGGAATACCCATCCACAACCCATTTTCAATGCCCTGGCTGAGGGAAGGAGGTTCTTACCCAAGATTTGACGGTACATGGCCCCGTCCATTGTCCCTTTGATGCAGTGAATTTGTCCTGTCCCCTTAGCAGAAAAAAACCCCCAAAGCATAATGTTTCCACCTCCATGTTTGACGGTGGGGATGGTGTTCTTGGGGTCATAGGCAGCATTCCTCCTCCTCCAAACACGGCGAGTTGAGTTGATGCCAAAGTGCTCGATTTTGGTCTCATCTGACCACAACACTTTCACCAGTTCTCCTCTGAATCATTCAGATGTTCATTGGCAAACTTCAGACGGCCCTATATATGAGCTTTCTTGAGCAGGAGGACCTTGCGGGCGCTGCAGGATTTCAGTCCTTCACAGCGTAGTGTGTTACCAATTGTTTTCTTGATGACTATGGTCCCAGCTGCCTTGAGATCATTGACAAGAACCTCCCGTATAGTTCTGGGCTGATTCCTCACCGTTCTCATGATCATTGCAACTCCACGAGGTGAGATCTTGCATGGAGCCCCAGGCCAAGGGAGATTGACAGTTCTTTTGTGTTTCTTCCATTTGCGAATAATCACACCAACTGTTGTCACCTTCTCACCAAGCTGCTTGGCGATGGTCTTGTAGCCCATTCCAGCCTTGTGTAGGTCTACAATATTGTCCCTGACATCCTTGGAAAGCTCTTTGGTCTTGGCCATGGTGGAGAGTTTGGAATCTGATTGATTGATTGCTTCTGTGGACAGGTGTCTTTTATACAGGTAACACGCTGAGATTAGGAGCACTCCCTTTAAGAGTGTGCTCCTAATCTCAGCTCGTTACCTGTATAAAAGACACCTGGGAGCCAGAAATCTTTCTGATTGAGAGGGGGTCAAATACTTATTTCCCTAATTAAAATGCGAATCAATTTATAACATTTTTGACATGCGTTTTTCTGGATTGTTTTGTTGTTATTCTGTCTCTCACTGTTCAAATAAACCTACCATTAAAATTATAGACTGAGTATTTCTTTGTCAGTGGGAAAACGTACAAAATCAGCAGGGGATCAAATACTTTTTTCCGTCACTGTATATTCGTCTAGAGAACTTTCACTAAAGACACGAAGTGGGAAGGACAATCCCTCTGAAGTATCTATTCTAACCAGCAACTCTACCAAGGACATTGGGATCTCTGGTGGGCAAACCAGAGTCCTACATCATCAACTCAACTATTAAGGACAGCTACACATAAATACATACATACATTTCTAATCTGAATAAGCGTTATTAGGGTGCATAAGTATTATGATTACTGTGAGCATAGTCTCCAAAGGAACCACGATAGTTTGAATCTCTGTCTCTCCCTTCCACTCTGACCCTCCTTTTACCCAAGCAGTCATGCGATGGTTAGTCCAGTCCACTAGGGACCTGTTTTCATTGTATTACGTTAGTAATCAATAACCTTTGTGTGTTTGCATTGTATTATTATTTAGTAAATTAGTAAATAAATAATTAAGCCAATTTGTGTATTGCTGATTCAAGGATTATGCGACGTTCAGAATGAGACTGATAAGAGGTAATTATTTGGTATATATTAAGTGACTGTTTTCGATATATAACATATCTTCTAAGAGTTTAATTCAGGAGATGGTAAGTCGTTAAACAACTTATTCCGTGGTGCCCCAAATTCCTAATGAGTTAATTGTTACATTATTAATT